TGATGATCTGTGATAGTGATGTGATGATGGTTTAGTGATGAACAGTGATAGTGATGTGCTGATGTGTGTGATGTGATGGTTAAGTGATGATTAGAGATAGTGATGTGATGATGTGTGTGATGTGATGGTTAAGTGATGATTAGAGATAGTGATGTGATGATGTGTGTGATGTGATGGTTAAGTGATGATCAGTGATAGTGATGTGCTGATGTGCGTGATATGATGATGGTTTAATGATGATAGATGACTGTGATGTGCTGATGTGATGTGATGTGATGTAATGATTGTTTAATGATGATCAGTGATAGTGATGTGATGTGCGTGATGTGATGGTTAAGTGATTATCAGTGATAGTGATGTGATGATGTGTGTGATGTGATGGTTTAATGATGAACAGTGATAGTGATGTGATGATGTGTATGATGCGATGATGGTTTAATGATGAACAGTGATAGTGACGTGCTGATGTGTGTGATCTGATTGTTTAATGATGATCAGTGATAGGAATGTGATGATGTGTGTGATGTGATGGTTAAGTGATGATCAGTGGTAGTGATGTGATGGTTTAATGATGATCAGTGATAGTGATGTGCTGATGTGTGATGTGATGATGGTTTAATGATGATCTGTGATAGTGATGTGATGATGGTTTAGTGATGAACAGTGATAGTGATGTGCTGATGTGTGTGATGTGATGGTTAAGTGATGAACAGTGATAGTGATGTGTGTGATGTGATGGTTAAGTGATGATCTGTGATAGTGATGTGATGATGTGTGTGATGTGATGATGGTTTAGTGATGAACAGTGATATTGATGTGCTGATGCGTGTGATGTGATGGTTAAGTGATGATCAGTGATAGTGATGTGATGATGTGTGTGATGTGATGGTTTAATGATGATCTGTGATAGTGATGTGCTGATGTGTGTGATGTGATGGTTAAGTGATGATCAGTGATAGTGATGTGATGATGTGTGTGATGTGATGGTTTAATGATGATCTGTGATAGTGATGTGCTGATGTGTGTGATGTGATGATGGTTTAATGATGATCAGTGATGGTGATGTGCTGATGTGATGGTTTGATGATTATTGGTGATCGTGGTGTGCTGATGTGCGTGATGTGTTGATGGTTTAATGATGATCAGTGATGGTGATGTGCTGATGTGATGTGATAGTGGTGTGTTGATGTGTGTGATGTGATGATGGTTTAATGATGATCAGTGATGGTGATGTGCTGATGTGATGGTTTGATGATTATTGGTGATCGTGGTGTGCTGATGTGCGTGATGTGTTGATGGTTTAATGATGATCAGTGATGGTGATGTGCTGATGTGATGTGATGTGATGGTGTGATGATGATTCGTGATAGTGATGTGCTGATGTGTGTATTGTGTTTTGTGCACAGAATCCTGTGAATCCTGCCATGGATTTCACTCAGACACCACCGGGAATGTTGGCACTAGACAACATGCTTTACCTCGCCAAAGTGCATCAGGACACATATATCAGAGTAAGAACACACATTCATAACTGTCATCTCTTGTTTTCTAAGTATTTTCTCAAGCATTGTGCCCTCTTTGTAACTGTTGAGTAAAAGTAATTATGTAAAACATGGTCATCTATAATAACAATACTAGAATAATAATAATAATGCATTATAATATTGTATTATTCTAATCTTATTATATATTATTATTATCATTATCAGATAGTCATCTGAGTGAATCAAAGCCAGATCTGTAATGCTGAAAAAAGAGTTCCTGGCACACTACAGCACGTCTGTTTGAATAGAGTCAGAGCTGATGCCGGTAGGATGTGTGTCATTGTGATAAAGTTAATTGTTGACAATCATATGACTGTTTGACTAGGGGAAGGTGAAGGAAAAAGTCTGTATACGGACAAAAACAGAAAAAAGGGAATAACAATTGCTGCAAACAAAAGTCATAAGAGGACCAGGGGCCCGTCCTTCATATGTCGCTTATTACATCCGAGATGAAATGTCACATCCAAGATGATATCATCGAGCTAATCAGGATCCGGCTAATTCAGTTCTTCAAACGCACCTGTTGTTGATGATTAGTATGGCTGGATTGAGTTATCTGAGATAATTGCGCGTTCATGGGTTGGTTTAAAAGGGGCTACGTATCGATACTCGAAACCACGATCAGCAGTGCAGCGATTGGCTGGCGGCAATACTTGCTGTCTTGCCGCCAGCCAATCACTGCATTACAGATCGTGGTTTCGAATATCGATACATAATGTCGACTACAATGTCGAATACAAAACGATACGTAGTGACATCATATAATTAAAAAAGACACCTGACGAAAAACTTGACAAATTTTTGGACTTTTATAAGGAAACAGCCAAGCGAACAAAACTACATAAATGTTATAATAGATACATGAAATGTGCACTGTTTTTTATTTAATTTAAATTTTTTACATGATTCCCAATTATTTATATTCACGATTTTTAAGGGTCAAGATCAAGTTATCTGCATCTCCTGCGCTCCATCATGCCACTCCCATAATATCTGTCAGCACTCAAATTAATGCACGAATCTACATTATCTGTATAGCATGTGTGTAAGACTCTAATACAATTATGAAGTAATAATTTTATGATGAATAAATATTTCAGTGAGTAAAACTGTCTGTGTCTATGGTATTAAAGACTACACAACATTATTATATTATCTTTAAATTGATTAATTTAATTAATTTAATTTAATTAAAATGATTATTATTTTAAATTATTGTCCCTGGATTAGTAGGGTACTCTTGTAATAAAGTAGTGGTGGCTGGGACAGATTTTAAGTATCAATTCTGCTTAAAAAGATGCAATCTAATCCTGTTTACATGAAATAAGCCTGCTCCCGAGCAGGTTTAAGCTTATGGACCTGTTGCTATGACAGCAACTCCGGGATGAGCTTCGAAGAACCAAACAATCCAAGATCAGGCCAAATCATCAACAATCAAATCCAGCTAACTGAGTTAGTGACATACGAAGAACGGGCCCCAGGGAGCTACTTACCATTCATGCAGACAATAAAATTGAATGGCAAGCTTAGTGGTATCATGCACTGCAGTTATTTACAAGAGTATAACACAAAACCTAATAAACAGGGCTTCTCTGTGAGTGTTAGATGTCACATTGTGATCACTTTGACTTAATGGGACAGTTCAGGATGTGTGTGAATGAAAGCACAGAACACGGGGAAACTCTGGAAGTGTGAATGAACAAAATCACACAATCCCAGAACAGTTTCTGTAACAATGTCTTGTTATAACTTTCCACTCTTAGTTTGATTAGAGAAGTTTCATTACAGCTTCAGTATTTTACCAAACACATTAAATGTTTATATTTTCCCTCATTTTGTAAGAGAGCTGGGTATAGATCATGCTGGGGGCTGCTTTTGCTGAAGTTTTATCAAAAAGATCAGGAAACAAAGACAAATCCTAAAGAAACCGTACAAAAAGACGTGCATGAGGCCAAAACCAGGCACAGTAATCAATCCAGGGGTAAAATCTAAATGACAAGACTAAACAGAAATGGAGAGAACAGACATTAGATCAAAAATGACAAACAGACTTAAAGACTGAATGTAAATGTAGCCTAAACTCAGGTGATTGCACCCTCTGGTGGCTTGAGGCAGACATATCAGACACAAATGCCATGTAATTGTAAGTTGTTATGGACAGCAATAAATGTTAAATAAAGAAATGGGAGTTCCATCAGAAAATATTCATTCTCATTGGAAGGTCAAAGAATATGATAGAATTACAGGGGTGTTAGTCCCAGATGACCTTTTATATATCTTGTATCGCTTTTCAAGGAACTATTCAAGGAACCAAGTCCATTTTTTTCCTGTGGTACATGTGGTGCCCCTTCATCTTCTCCCTTCTGTTTGCTATGTCCTCTTGCACCTCTCCTATTGATAAAAAATATAATAATAAAATGTCAATGGCCTGTACATACTGTGCTTTTGTTTTTCAGATTGTTCTAGAAAACAGCAGTCGAGAAGATAAACACGAGTGTCCATTTGGTCGCTCTGCCATTGACCTGACGCGCGTGCTGTGTGATATTCTACAGGTTGGAGAACTGCGTAAGTATTCTGCAATCTTTTTGATTCCTCAGTTCACTGATGAATGAGTTGAACTGTGTTCGGAGGGTCCGTTAGAGAGCAGCTTTAGAGGAGATCCAGAGCGATTCCCACCTGAGTTCAGCTCCAACCCTAATCAAACACACCTGAACTAGCTAATTGAGATTTCCAGGATAACTTGAAAATACACAGGCAGGTGTGCTGAAGCAGGACGGTGGGTCCCCAGGAGCAGGGTTGAAGACCTCTGCCGTAATCCATACAACCCCAGGGGAACTAAATAAAAATGAGACATATAACTGAGATAAAATAAGTTAAAGTTTTTATATTTTATTTCAGTTCATGTTTATTTTATTTCATCTAAATCTGACCTGTACTGTTAAAAATGTCATCCAATATCCAGTTTTGTTACATTTTTAGGTTGAACTGTGACAAATGTTTCTATAGCGTGTGTGTTTCTGTGACGTACTGCGTCGGTCACATAAAGAGAGGCTTGTCTTGTCTCTCCAGCGAATGAAGGGTGTAACGACTTCCATCCCATGTTTTTTACCCACGAGCGCGCTTGGGAAGAGTTCTTCTGCGTCTGCATACAGCTGCTCAATAAGACGTGGAAAGAAATGAGGGCCACTGCAGAAGATTTCAACAAGGTGTGTGTTAGTGAGTGTGTCTGCTAGAGGAGAAACGGTTTCATGTGTGTTTGTTTGTGTCAGTGAACACTATGTGTGTTTTAGGTGATGACGGTGGTGCGAGAACAGATCACTAGAGCTCTGGCCATGAAACCACCGTCTCTGGAGCAGCTGCGGGTCAAACTGCGCAGTCTGAGCTACTCTGAGGTCCTGCGTTTGCGTCAGTCTGAGAGAATGAGTCAGGACGACTTCCAGTCGCCCCCTATAATGTGAGTCAAGAGCTTCTGCATTAGTAAGCGGTCTCATTTACATTTAGTCATTTAGCAGACGGTTTTATCCAAAGCGACTTACAAATGACGACAATAGAAGCAATCAAAACTAACAAAAGAGCAATGATATGTAAGTGCAAATGACAAGTCTCGGTTAGCCTAACGCAGTACATGTAGCAAGGTTATATATGTATACTCACACACACAAAAAGAAAAACAAGTAGATAGAATAGAAAAAATAGATAAAATAGTATAAATAGTATAAGATAAAAATAATTTGTAAATAAAAGTTTAAATAAAAGAATAGAAAGTGCTAGAGTTAGAGGGTCAAATAAAGATGGAATAGATGTGTTTTTAGTCGTTTCTTGAAGATGGTTAACTCCAGCCTGCAAAGCAAATCTGCAGGACCAGGCAGTTTTAGCAATGTGGTCTGAGAAATTCAGCTCATCAATCACAACTCCAAGGTTTCTGGCTGTTTTAAAGGAGTTATGGTTGATGACCCTAACTGGATGGTGAAATTGTGATGAAAGGATGGGCTTGCTGGAACCACAAGCAGTTCTGTCTTGGCAAGGTTGAGTTGAAGGCGATGGTCTGTCCT